TTTGAATGGGATTCTAGGCAGACATCACCTATGAAATATTTCAATAAATCCTGCTGTGCTGAACGAAGGATACAACAGCACTTTGGAGAAACAATCCTGTCACAATGAGATTTTCTTGGATGAAAGGCTGGTGTTGCCTATTCTCCTTATAGCAGTCTCCAGATGGCAAATTTGAAAGACTTTACAGAGAATGGTTATTATGGAGATCAGCTTTTCAAGCAGAATGACTGTGCATGTGTATGTGTACTGACACTTTTTTTTGTGTAGAGAAGATTGAAAACTGTTTCCATCATTGCTGCATCAAGGGTGTCACAGTGTCCTAATCAAAGTTATCTCTCCACCTCTGTGTCTGTTGTTTTTTCTGTTGTTGTCTTCACTGTTATATGTTAGTGTAGATAAATGCAGTAGTTTGACGCTCAGTACATCCCACTGCTTGATTTACAGAATTTCATTAGAGAGAAAGTAATAAAATCTTCTATATTAAACTGTGTTAGTCACTTGAGTGCTTCTACTCAGATCAGTTATTATTACACAACATCTGAGATCCTGCAAAGTCTCATCATGCAAAAACCACCAAAAATTGATGTAGTGGTTAAATGGTTTCTTACAATCCTTTACACTCTAGGCAGAGTATATAGCCAGTTCTTTCTAATAAATAACCAAGGAAAGATTCTTAAAATTCTGAAAAATAGAGTGACTCCTAAAAATTTAAATGAGGCTCTTGCAGTAGCTCTCTTACTTACACTGTCTGCAAGCCCATCACAAACTCTTGTTAGAGTTAGAGTAGAGTAGCACTTTTAGTTAGTGAGGAAAACTGGATCCAATGAAAATCTTTACTCTATGTGTGTGTGTGTTTGTTTGTGTGTGTGTGTGTGTGTGTGTGTGCTATAGGAGTAGAGAGGGTGCATGTTCTTGAGTCAGGGGAGTATCACGCATTGATTTTGCACCATGTCTTGTATGCATTGAGGCAGTGATGTGTGTCTGACAATTTATGACACTGTGATGAAAGTAGTCTTAAATATTTCAACTTGTGTGTGTGTGTATTACTCTTTTGGCCCCTACCTTCTCTATTAACATGTGGACATCGAGTGTTAGGTAAAGCACCACAAATCCTCTTCCTTCTCCCTCTTTTACTCTAATGTGTCCTAACGTTTAACTTCACTACTATATTTCGGTAAAAGTCTGCAGATCTCATCTTGTCACCGCCTACTGCGAGTCATTTATTTGACAAGAATTTGGAAGAAGATGAAAAGGGGCCTCAGTTAAATCTGTACTTATCTATTTCAAGGCACAGCAGCGCAGTAATCCCAGTTCTGTTCCTTAAATCCTCTGGACATCTCTTAAAAAGATACACTTTTGGGTTTGTTTGAGATGTCATGTCTATACGCAGCACTTCTGGTTGGCTAATGTATATCTCTATGTTCCTTCTGTCAGTGATTACTATTTAAGACTACAGGTATGTGAAAGAATATCAGTCTTACTTAAGCTTTTGTTTTTCTGCATTTTCACTCAACCTGTCCATCAGCCAGTCCAGGGTTTTGACTATGCCAAGCAGCACCTGGGCCAACAGGGAGGGGATGAGGAGACGCTGCCTGTCAGTCAGGATACCTTAGTGATGTCACTACAAATTCGAGACACACCACTTTCACTAGAAAAGGCCCTGCAACAAGATGGAACTGCCAACAAGAAAACCCTCACCACTGACAAACACAAAAGGTATCATTACATCTGCTTGTCATGCTGTAATCTTTGAACTTAACCTCAATTTTCATATTTTCAGGGACAAATGACTTCAGTGGACATATGGCTGCCATAGTCAGAGTATGAAAAGTAATTAATATTTAGGGATCCTACATATTTAAAGCGCATTCATTACCTCACAGAAAATATAACAGCATATACAGCATTTTATATTATATATTTTTTAAACACATTTTTTGCTAAAAACATCTGGTGGGCCAAATTAATCCTTATGGCAACTTTGGCCTGCAGGCTCTACTATAGACAGCCTAGATGAATTAGAATAAAGTATTTCTATGAACTGGATGTCGGTGAAGCAATACCTTTTGATATTCAGTCTAACCAAGGATGTGATTTATTTTATAGATTCAAAACATTCAAGAGGATTCAAAACTGTTCACCATTCAAAACTGTACATTATTGTTATTTATGATAAGAGAACTATCAAGGACACAAAAACCAGAGAAGATTTAGATAGAACACCCAAAAGTACATTTAAAACATTGCTTAAGTTTATCAATCGTGTTTTTGTAATTAAATACTTCGCTTTTAATTCGCGACATTAGTGAATTAGTGGAAAAGTATTCTACTCACTGTTTGTGTGAGAAAAAAAAACTTATTAACATAATACTGAAGATAATATGTATAATTAGGATAAAACTATTTTTGGACATTTGTTCCCAAATCAAATGTATTGATCTTCTATACAGTAGCCATTAGGAGATCTCCAACTCAGCTTACCAGGCAAAGCTTTTATCAGTCTGAGTTGTATTTGTCTCAATTAACCTTCTCAAACAGACGATAATCTGATGAATCATCTCAATTTATTCAGAAGGTTTTTCTTGAACTAAGACTGAAGGCAAGAGATCCTCCTATTTGCTTATAGTATGTACGTGTTATTTCAAGAACTGCACTGGGTCTGTCCTCATTCTACCCTGATGCTGAGTGATAGGCGGTCATTAACAGTTCTCTGTGTGGCAGGTGAAATTGACCATTTTCCTCATCTGACAGTCAGTAGCGCTGTTTCGGAAATTAATTGCCATGTTAAATCATGCTAAATTATTTAATCAAGGAACGCAAAAGGGCGTAATTTTTCAAAGCCATGCAGGATAATGAGATCAAATGAAATGTTTATGACAGAATAAGGAATCTATATACCAGAGGTCCTGCTGTAATGATGCAGCAAAAGTTTTTCATTTCTTATTTTTTAAACTATTGATCTTAAAGGTTCTTCAAGTATTTAGATGTCAAAGTAAATTTTCTTTATTTAACTATCTAAATGCTATTATCCTAGGACATAACAAGCTTGTTCTTTAAAGTTTGTTTCCTGCTTTGTCTTAAAGTACGTAGAGATATTAACATCAATAAAAATCAAGAGATAAGTGTTAAATAGTATTTTGTATTTTGTGTTAAAAAATTTGCATAAGCCTGGTTGACTTTTATTAGCCACACAAAGTGATAGTAGACTGTAGAACATTTGAATTTCTAGAACAGTCACCATGGTTGTCCAGTTAAATAATAGAGTACACCAGTACACATAGAATATGGCCACAGCATTGTGTGTTCAGCTACTTGCTATTAGGCAACACATGCTATAGCTAGTGGAAAAGCAGCTGTCCTGCAGGTGCAACATGATTTTAGCTCTCTACATGCCAAGATGCCAAGACTTGATGCCAAGTCTATTGACAGACAAGCAAATGCTGTGTTCATTCCATCAGGTGGAGGCTCACAGCAGTTGTTGACGTCTGAGTGAAGGTGAAAACTGTCATTCACTTGTTGTGCAGCCTGTTTGAAATGACATCTGTCCCAAAATTCCTGTTGAGCCCTGCGAGACAAAGAGGAACTCTTGGAAAGATGCTGCAAGGTTACACTTTTAGAAGTTCTAAGATTCTGTAACTTATGATTCAGAGCTAGGATGCCGTTATGCACGCTGGATACGTGCAAATCTAAAAAACATTCATGCAGACATGTCTTACACAATTACCTCTAATTTGCCTCCTCCTCCCTGAAGACATCCCTTCATTTGTACCAAGGTCACACAGCTGTTAGCCTCTAAACACCAACACAGGATCAAACACACAACCCTCTCATACAGCCAGTGCAAATCTGCTTCTCTGAACACCTCAATTAATTATTACACATTACACGTCTTTGTCAAGGCTGTGACTGTTGCACCGAGCCAGCTCTCTGCAGCAGTGCCTCAACGAGAGCAGGGAGGGCGGACACTGTTCCTCTGTCTCTCTTTTGCTGTTATCATTTTTACCAGACAATTAGGGGATAGACCACGGTGCTTTGATGTCAGTGTCAGCCTCGTGGTCCTCTGAGCCGCCGCTTGATCAGCTCTAATTCCAACTACAGTACAGTGTTTGAAGCTGGTGAAACAAGAATTGGATAAAGCAATTGTTTGTCCAATTAATGGAAGAACCAGTCTTGCTTCACTGTGGACGGCTTGCACGCTGGTTTTGAAACATACATGTCACACATTCAAGAATAAATGCATGTGCAGTAGAGGCACATGAACATAAAAATACATGTTTATTAATGAAAACATGCAGATAAATGTGCAAAACATACTCAAATAAACCATTTGGGAAGACAATTGCCACTTGACAAAGACTTGAAACTTAACCAGCTGATGACTAATGCTACAGATCCAAAGCACTGAACAATCTTACTCTGACAGTGTTTGGTAATGGTTTTAAAAATAAACATTAAAAAAACAAAAAATAAATAAATAAATAACAAAAACAATAATAATACATTATGTTTACTGGCCTCAAGCCTGAGAGAGGTAGAGAGAGGAAGGTGAGGTTGTTAAAGGGAGGGATGACATAACCTGGCTCTGAGCCCAACTTCCGGAGAGCTCATCGCCTTTTCCTGTTGCTATGGTTACTTGCAGCAAGTTGCCGAGTGAGGACGGTTCCGTCATCAGCAACGAATCAGAGAAGCTGAATTCCGGCAGGGGCTTGACAGTGCTGAAAGTCACAGCGCAGCAGAAACTGACAAAGGAGGAGACGCGCAAGAGGGACGGTGAGAGTCACACACTGATGCAAATACAAATAATTTATTCTGCAGCTCCTTTGCAGACAAGGTCAGGTGTGTCACAAATGCCAAAAAATCTTTTCCCAGTCTCTCCTGCATGAAACCCTTTTACAGTCTCTGTTTCTCATGCACACAGGTTACCTAAAGAGAAATGCATTGCCACTGCAGCTTTTTTTTTACAGCCAGAAAGGTGGCCACTCAGCAGTAAGCAGAGATGGACCTGATGAATATGCATGAGACAGACACTCTGCTGACATGATACAGTATGTCAGACTAGTGGATGCTGTGACAGACTGAAAAAAAAAAACACGTGCACGCACACACTCACTAATGCAAAAATGTAGAAATACCACATAAAGTCACACGTCTTGTGCTCTTCAAAGATGCAAAACAGTTTCAAGTAACAGCCACTCAGACGTTGAACTATTCGCTGTTCTATTCTCGTCCACTGGAGCTAAATGTTCCACATGTGGTGGGTGTGAGTTAAATGAATCAAATTCAAATACTCTGCTTGTAAATTGGATAGAGCTTGCTAGATTATGATTTTCTTAATGGCTGGGTTTGAATAATTCATCAGCTGAGTTAACGGAAACTAGAATTGAATCCAGTTTGTCTGATGTTGGATAAGGAATGAAAGTGCATAGTCAGTTCCTTTCATCTATCACAGAGATGCATTGGCACAAACTTTGAAGCCAATGCTATCTTTGTGATCTATTGTCTTCCGTCCACCACTTCATTTGCTGACACAGACAACTGATGTTTGACATAATCCCAAAGTGTCAGCCACAGAGAAGACAAGGTGATGATGAGAGAGAGAGAGAGAGAGAGAGAGAGAGAGAGGGAGTGTGACAGTTTGTTCCCCTTTGACTGACAGTGTAATGATTAGAGGTATTTGTAGTCTCTTTGTGAGTGAACTCCCTCTCTGTTCTTCAGATCCATATGACACCTCCTCTGGCTCCCTGCAGCTTATTTCCATAAAGCCCATGGCAGCTCAGCCCAACTACTCACACCCTGCATTCTCTGACCGCAGCCAGGACTCAGCCGTTGTCAACGGAGAGGTGATGCACATGCACATATCCGTTTAAAGAGATACACAGACTTACATGCACATTTACACAAACACAGACATGAAGGCAGATGCCCAAATGTATTAAAGGCCCTGAAAACCTATAACCGTGGTCTCATATGAGAGATTTGTGTTTTTTTTTCTCACTGGTTTAAAGTGGACATCGCTCAGCTGGTAAAAATGTCACACTTTAAGTGCAACAATCACAGTCAAACAAATCAAAATGTAATAGTGTTGTTTGAACTGTCAATCAAATCTGATTAAACCACAACCACACAGATTGAGTGTTAAACTCTTAATAAATAATATCTAAAGAATTTTTTGCTTATCTAAACTTGAATATTGAATGTTACAGAGAAATATTTCAGATTCGAAACCAAATTTTCCGGAGCTTTAAAATACGCTCCACTCTTACAGCATTTATGACAAATATAACAGAACTTTTTTTCAGTGGAAAAAAATGACCTTTTAACTAACAGTAGTTACGTGATTTGTGGCATTGTATGATTTCATATGATGAAGCTCTGACCTCCGAGGACCATGTGTTAAAAACAGTATAGGTTTTAAAGCTCAAAAGGCACATATTCATATGACACTAAACATAAACATATTCCTGACACTAAAATATGATTTTCTTGGATATATTGCAAGCTCATCCAAGTGATATTCCCCAGAAAATTATATAATACAACCTTTACAGTAAACTGACTTTCATCATTAGATCAAAGAATTGGTTCAATAACATGATGCACCACACTTTTTTCATTCTTTATTTTCATTTTTTTTTTCATTTCATTTGTGATTCTGAATTAATATAATAAACATGAAATATAATAAATGTGTTCTGAATCTTTCTGGCTGTGATTATTACATAACAGTTTCATTTTCAGAGCTTCTTATTCTCATGAACCTTCTGATCTTTTATCCACACATGCCTTTTAAGACAAGCAGAATCACACCACACACACCACACACTGTTTCCATTCTCATCTCTCCGTGTCTCTTCGCATATCACACTCTTTCCTCTTTGCAGGTGAACTTGGCTCTGAAGCAGAAGTCAGACATAGAGCACTACAGGAACAAGCTGAGGCTGAAGGCTAAGAGGAAGGGCTATTATGACTTTCCCTCCACCGACGGCAGCAGCAGTGGTCGGGCTCTGGCGCAGAGGCAGCGGCACGGCCATGAGAGGGCAGCCGGTGAGCATGGCAGACCACTGGAGCCTGATGATGAGCGAGGTTCCACTTATGTCAAGTCTCACAGGAGGTGAGGGGAGAGTGGAAAAGCAACTGGAACCTGGGTTTGGCTGAGTGTAAACAGAAAAGAAAATCCATGCTTACTTAAGGGTGTGATGCAATTCGAGCCAACACAAAGTGCTGCAGGTGACGTGGCATTTCATATTGGTTGATTTGAGAAGCTTCTAACCATGGCCAGTTATCCATCCCCGCTGACCTCTGCCTTGCCTAATTAGCTTATAGATAAGTAAATCTGTCTCCTCTAATGTTGTCATTATCCTATCCTGATAGGCAATGAGAGACCCATCAGACTTGTCTGATTAGTCTGATCCAAGTCCTGAGCTTCTATAATGGAGATAAGAGGATTGGCAGGGTGTTGGACGGTCCACTACGCTGGTTCTGTCCTGCCTCTTCTTTACAGATGCACATAAAGATGGACAGAGTCTTTGGTATTACCTGTTGGTATTACAGACCCAGGGCAAGGGGGGTCTTCCCCACATGAGATTAACATTACATTACATTAGCTGCCTTTAGAGCAGAAAGCATCATTTGAAATTTGGCTTAGCAAAGGGTTAAAGGGACCTGCTATTTTTGTATTCCCCCAGAGTGAGCAAGATAACGATTTTAGCAGCTATTTACTGTTGACACTAGTGTGTGGCTGATCAGTTACAGCAACAACATGCTGATATGCACCTTGTCCTTTGTCACTGACTGTACATTGTTGTTTGGTTTTGCTAGGTGCTTTATCAGTGTTGCACTTTGCTGTGCAACTCTTCAAGGATATCCTCACACCTGATTCAGTTTGTTACGTGATGTCCTTATAAGATACCCGAACATACTACATCTATTTGGTCTTTATCACAACTTTATGTACCTTTTTAAAACATTTATTTTCCCACTATTTTCAACCACCTCCACTTCCCACCCACCTTTCACTGCAGGTATCTGAAACCATGGCTGACACTAAGAAGGCTGAATTATAAGGCTTTCAATTCATAACAACCATACCCCATGATTGATTTGTACTGAATCTACTCTTTCCATCTAATTGGCAGGCACTCCCAGGTAGGGCAGACAGCCTATCGCAGCAGACAGAGTCTAAGCAGTCCCAGTCCTGGAGGAACAGAGATGGACCTCCTTGTTATGAGGGAGAGACCCAGGAGAGGCATTCGCAACAGCGGCTATGATGTAAGTCAGATGTCATCACCTAATGACCCTGTCTCCCAAGATGCAGTTAAACTTCTCTCACAAAGTGACTGACAGAGCAACATTGTATTGGTACTTTTTAAATAATAATTTGTAATTTGCAGTATACATGTAGAAAGCTGATCCCCAAATAAGGTTCGAGCAATAGCATCTTTAAATTGTCAATCACATATAAACTTTTAACTCATTATATGTATTAATGATGTGCTATATACGTATTTTTAAAGGAAAGCCTTTTGTGATGTCTTGTGATTCTTGGTGTTGTTCCTGTGTTGTTGTTTTACTTTCTTTTATTCTGATATTTTAACTGTGTTTTGTATGATTGCTTATATTGTATCTCATTTATTTTGTCAAGCACTTTGGTACTGTGTTTAGATAAGTGCTATACAAATACAATTATTACAATAACTATTATTATTCAAATACAAATATGTGATGATTTATATTCTTATTATATGCTTGTATTGAAACCACTGTTTTCAATCTAGTAAGATGGAATGTAAAAATAGAAACGATCATTACCAATCAGAGCCTGTCAGCGGTAAATCTATGCCTTATTGCCTTTAAAACAGCCACTGAGCTTGAAATCAGACATATTCTGCTCAGGTGTGGTTTCAACCGTACCACAGCAAGCTGAAAGAAGAGAAGTGGTTCATTCATAATTAAGATTTAAGATTTATAAGTCCTGTCGTTTTGATATGTAATGCGTCTCAGGAGGGCTGGTTTAGGCCTCCACTCTTTTATTGTTCCACTGTGGCTCTTTCTGCCATGAAGCCAGAATACTAGTGTGTGAGCTCCCTTTTGTGAAAAATATGAGCAGTGATAGAAATATTTCACTGAACTGCAATTGACCTGCCAGCCATTTTGACCAGTCACAACAGGAAAAAACACAAGCTGTGGTACTGTTGTGCTGGCTCACTGGCATGGCTTATTGGGACATTCAATAAAACATAAAAGTTATTATATAAACCTGTGCTTTTCCTACTATTACAAGTCAATTGTCTGCCATGAAAATAGCTTCTTGTGCATTTGAGTTAGAAATAGCAGGTTCTTGCGATGACTGGGTGCTGCCATTAGCAAAATGCCATAGGTTTAACATGACAAACTTTATTATTGATTGGTAATTAAATTACAAAAGACCCTTGACAAGCTCAAATTGAGATTTCTTTTTATTTTGACCTCCCTTGGTTTATTCTTGCTGTGGCTAAACTGTGTAGCAAACTGTTCAGTTCTGTTAGAAATATGGCACAGTAGCCAGTACAAGCTACACAGCCCTTTTTCAGAACTCCTGGCCCTGTTGATTACAATGGGACTAGTGTAGCTCCAGGCCCCATCACTGCAGATGCAAGTCTCTGCCGTTCCGTGTTGCAGGGGGGGCTGATTTATGAGGTGCACTACGCTAGGTCTCCTGTGGCTACCCTCTGTTCGCACAGGAAATAGGGCAGCCTCAGCTCGTATCCATTTATCACTGAATATAAGGAATGGATAGATGGATACAGAGGCTGGGAGAAAGAGTAGAGGGTATGAAAAGATGGAGGGACTTTCAAAAAGAAAGAAAGAGGATGTAAAAGGGGAGACAGGAAAATGGTTATACTGTATATAGTGACAATAAGAAAAGGAGAAGGAACATACAAATTAGCATTAGCACACTACTATCCAGCCACTGGAATGTACTGCTGCTGAGCCTACTGTGACCAAGCAGTAACACCACTGGATCAAACCCTTCCAGCTGACTAGTGTCAGAAACTCTGAGTAACATTAGACAGCCTGTGCTAGCTCAGTCAGCACCTTGTCAACAACCCACTGAGAGAATGACAGGAGATATTTTAAAACTTGTAAATTTCCAGCCATCTCCGGTTGTAGCTGTTAAAATCCCGCTAATTCGACAGGGAGAGGTTTCATTTTCTAATATTTCATCCAGGTGTAAATCCGAACATGCCTCCTCAGGTGGCCGCTACCACAGATTCACCCACACAAGCCATGACTATGAAACTACAGGGCACTTTACTCAAAGTTCATTCATATCGTTTTACTCTGATGTGTGTCAGATCCTCTGTTGTTAGCTTATCAATTAGATACCCTTCTCATTATGTTGTGTCTATATTAGAAAGTCAAAGATCTGAGTCTCAGTTCATAGTGGCCTCTCTCTCTTCTCAATGTGTTTGTTTTAGACTGAGCCTGAGTTGATTGAGGAGACGAATGTTGACCGTCTAATGGGGCCAAGGGGATACATGTATGGCCGGGGCTTGAAAGGCCACTCAGAGACATCCACTCTGAGCTCACAGCCGTCCATTGATGAAGTGCGACAGCAGATGCACCTGCTGCTGGAGGAGGCATTCAGCCTGGCTTCAGGAGGCCAGTCCACATCCGGAAGGCACTCCCATCACCACCACCCACCTTCTGACCATTACAGTCATGCACCACCTCCCCTCCCCTACGCAGACGTGGTGACCAGTGCCCCTGGTACAATGAATGATGGAAGGGGAGGCCTGCAGTGGGTACCATCTTATGGGGCAGACGTGTATCAGTGCAGCCTGCCCAAACCGGTAAATGGAATGAGATTATTAGCCCTCTCTTAAGAACTGCCTGCTGTCGTTATAGTTAGCTTTATGTAACCTTAAATGCCTTTCAATATCTGTTTAAGGCCTTTCACTTCACCCAGCTCCCTGAGATGGCCATGGGTTCTCCTCCGCCTTTACCACCTCGCACTGGACCTCCTTCTGGGACCTCCTTAAGACGGTAAGGCTGAATAGGCCTTACACACACACAAAAACACACATGCAGATGGAGGCAGACACAGACATACACACAGTAGCATCCCAAAGTCCATCAGATATTCCACATTTATTCACATTCAAATTCATATTCAGGGACTAGATATTCACTAGGTAATGTGCTGTGGCCAGGGTGATTTTAGGTCTTGTATAAATTTGAATATTAAACTAGTGCATTGAGAGATGGCAGGAATGTTAATGAGGTGCTCACTTTTCCAGATGGAGTGTTTCTGCCATCTAGTGGCACTGGCCAAGTATTTCGGTAACTTTGTGCTTATTGCTCTCCAACCAACTTAGTTCCACTTCTGACTTGGGGCCTAAGGGAAGGAACTCAGAGACATCTGTCACTGAAATGCAGAGTCAACATGACAACAACCCATATGGGCCAACTACTAGAGCAGCACTTCCATCTATCACTGCAGAGCAGCCTGTGTCCAACTACTCAGGTAAGCAAATGAGGAGATGACTTTGCATTTCAAAAGTAATCTATAATGTGCTTTTCTTCCATAACAACATAAGTTTTGCAAGAATAATAATACTCTGACAAAACTTAAATTAAATAATCCCTTGGAATACATTCATCAGTGAAGTCTCACTTTTCTTCTGCGTAGGAAACCCAATAACAGCCGTCTACGCCATCCCAGCCACCAGGTCCGGCTACTCAGAATACTTCGTCTCCACACCACCCACCTCCTACCACAGTCCCTCTTGGATGTCCTATCCACCTGAACCTGAGGATGTGCCGCCACAGTGGGCTGACTCTGTAAGGAAGCCCGTTATAATTGCTTAGGAGGCACCCAATCCTAACAAAAATAAATGAATAAATCAAAGATGAGCAATTTATAGTGGTAGAATAATGTGACTAGTAACTAGGACAGTCACAGTTTTCAAGCATATCTCACAGCTTTTTTGTCCTAATAATTAGCTCTTTAATTAAGAAAAAATTCTATTGGCTATTGCAAAGATTCTTGCAGAATTAAGGTTATATCCAGACTCAGTCAGAAGTATTTGTATTTTTGACTCTTGCAGAGTAAAAAAGACCAGTATTCTGGCTTTATAACATACAGACAAGAAGCCCCACACAATTAAATTCAATACATTTCAATTGAATAATTAAATACAGGCCGGTAAAACTGTAAAAGAAATGTAATTATTGTAGAGTTTCAAAATACCCCAGCCTCACCTCCTGGTTGTCAGGATGTGTAGGTGAGCTCTCACTATGGCGCTGACATTGATTTGAAAAGTCTTTTTGTGCTCCTGTTTCTGTCTACCCTCGAAAAGGACTAAAAACAATACTTTTTAAGCATCCTTCTACCTTCTCCTCTGTTTTTCATTCAAATAAGAGAACAAGAGATAGGACGTTCATCCTGTCAGATCTGTTATAATCCGTGTGACCCTCCCTCCCCTGCCCTGCACAGGACCCTCTTTGTTTGTATGGAATGTTCTGTTTTTTCCCTGTCTGTCTGCCTGTTTCAACCAGATGCCTTCACGCAGTGTCTTTTTGCAGAACCAGTGTCATTTAGAAACCATTTGCTGATCTGAATTTATGGCTGGCGTTGAGTGGACACAACAAAATACCGGGGTAGTTGAGCACATTTCCTAAATGAACACCTTTTTTACTTTTAACTTTTTTTTAAACTTTTTTTACTTACATTTCTTGTGTAAATCTGACACTTATGAAGATTTTGTATCAACATTCAATAATAGTCCATTTTGGAGTTCAAACACTGTTTGAACCACAATCCATTTCAGTATCATATACTCACACAGTAGATCTCCACACTCATTACTTTCCCTGTTATTTTGGTCCATTTATAATGATTTACATTTGTGTATATTTTCCCTTATCACCTATTTAATTCTTTCTAAAATAGAGGTGCAAGAGAAAATGTTCACTCAGCAAAATAAAAAACTATCGCATATACTGTATCCTTCTAATTAATTGGCAGCCATTATTTTCGTGGGTAGTAATAATATGAAGTTACTGTATTACTGATTTCATGTCTACCCTGTTTTACAGTTGCCCCTGCCTGGGTATGTAGAGGCTTTTCCTCATCCTCGCTACCCACAGGGGAGCCCCACCAGGCTGCCCCTACAGTATAACCCGGCACTGGAGGAGCCACCCACTGCCCCTAGCACAGCATCCCAGCAAAGCCTGCCCCAGGTGGTGAAGGACATGGACAGCATGCCCCTTAGCAGCCTCTCCACCTCTGCGCTCGTGCAGGCCATCCGGCAGGAGGTGGCCAAGCTGGCGAAGAAGCAGAACGATGTGTTTGAGTTCTAGTTTTAATTTTGCCCCCTTGTGTGCAGGAGCTCTGCACTGGTCTTCAATAGGGGCATACGAAGGTGGTCCTCCTTCAGACTGATTTTTGATGTTTGTATTGTAAAAACAGACTGATCTTCTTTACCCACTGATTATCCACTGATCGATTTCTTTTCACATGCCACTGGTGTTTTGCAAACTGTTGACTTAAAGGAACAGAAAAGGTTATGTTTTTTTTTTTTTTGGAAAAAAATGCCATCCTCTATTGATGATGTCCTTGAGTAAATACATGCATCTCTTCTTTGTAGATATGTCAATAGGATACGCTAAATATGGAAAATGTAATTTTTTCTGGGACTAGACATTTTTTCTGAATCAGCATCAATTGAAAAGAGAGAAAAGTAGCATTATTGTCTGTACTGAGAGAACCAACTTCCTGTCAGATAGTTAAGTATAACCACAGTGTATATGAGCATGTACAGTATTAGGACATCATGTATGTTATCTCCTTTTATAGACCATAACTTCAACAGGATGTGCTACATCAATATCAGGTCATTCAAGCATCCATTCCATATGAAAGTACCATATCCATTTTTACAAATTCTTTGTTTTTCACATCCCAACACCATAACAATAACAACAAACACTGACTGTCCTTGATTTGTTAATAATAATTAACAAATGGACTAAATACAGTATATATATGTATCTCTTTAAGTTAAACCCAAATTAACATTAAATCTTAAGCAGTATCTATGATGATGATGATGATGATGATGATGATGATGATGATGATGATGATGTAGCAAATAGATGGAAATGTTTACCTTTATGCATCTGAAATAGAGGGAAGCATTTATCATTTAGCATTGATTCTTATAATATTTGTTTGGGTGTTCACAAGTTACATTGACATGGTTGACAATTATAGACATTTTTTAACAGTAATGGGTGGTTATTATAGTACTATATTACTGTTGCTAAATACTTAAAAACATTAACTTTGACAAAATCTTTGTCACAAAACTATTCTCTTTGCTGCTGGAAGTTGTGCTGCGGGTCCTTGAATAAGAAAGATGAGTTTATTGTTTGTTTACTGGCCTTAAGACATGTTCATGTAAACTATTGACCTAATGAGAGGTCCTACATCAGTACTCCTGTTCTAAGAAGTTTTAAGTGCACAAACCCTGATGTCTTTGTGTAACATTGAGAATGTCTGCCTGAGTGCGGACTCAGATTTAGTGTACAGTACAAGAACTGTTTCAGAAGCATGTTCAGTGTGAGTGTATCAATGTGGAACATCCGTAACCCCTGAAATCATGCTTTTACGGTGCAAAGTGCACATTTACCCTCAAAAGCTAATTTCATAATCAGTCATTTAATTTAAAAACTGCGGGTTCAAGTCATCAATCTTAATTATATAGAGAGTACATGTGTGTATGACAGAGCAACGTAACAAGCTTCCACCTACCACATAAAAACATCATAAATATCAACAACAAAAAGCTCAAATTTGGTTAAACAAAAGACTAAACATATAAATAAAAGGAAAGACTCCTCCTGACATGATGAGCAGAATGCAGTTCTCTGACAAAGACGCACTAACACGTACATGTTAAGCTAAAGACCAAGCCTTCTGATAGCTAATGGAATAAAGGAGACCCTTGCATGCCAGAATTATTCGAGCAGCGACAAGAAGGAAGGAGGTCAACCCCTTATTTAGTTTAAGGTTGGGATATTCAGGGATCCAGCTAACCTTTTTGATGACATGCTTTAATTAATATCTTGAAGCAGGCTTATTTTATCCGAATAGCTTAATTTGCCATCTTTATCAGCTTTGTCAACCTATTTTATTTAGTCTGTTTTTAAAATCAGCCTAAAACCACCATACCAGGGCTGTGCACACAACAACACTATTCAATAAAACTCCTATAAAACAAAAGTCATTAAACCATTGCACACATGAAAGGAATTCAACTCATACTCATATTTTACTGTGGCATGAAAGCCATCAATAGGTTATAATAAATTCTTAATGCAGGATTGCTTGGGGAATGGAAAGTGGAACTGACTGCAGATGAGTGCATGTAGGACTATAGCAGGGATGCTGCAACATTCAGATGCTATAAATTGCCTACTCTTTATATGTTTTTGCAAACGGTGTGGAATGCTTTGCAGATTATTATAATAAATGCTGTCATAGAAAGATGCCAGCTGTGACGTAAGAAAGACAACTATGAGTGAAAATGCCTTTAAAACATTATTTCTTTTCGTGGAACAGTACTGTTGTTGTTACAGCAGTCCCAGATAAATGTAACTTTTTTGCATTCTGACATTTGAGCAAACCTTCCCTCTCTTCTTTTATACTCATGCCTGTTGGTGTGTAAGTAGGTATAAGGAAATACTGTATGTCTCAGCAAGAACTTTGATGTTGCTTGTTTTCCCAAGATTCCTTTTACCCATTATTCAGAGGAGCACTTAATGTCTTAAGAACTGTACTAAATACAGTGAAACAATTTTTGTGTATACCAGAAGTGAACACCTTTCCACATTCTCATGCTGGAAAACTTAGCGATATTAAATAAAAGGGTTTTAGGTGGTTTATTGGTTTAGAAAAATTATGAGTATTTATTCTATAAAATTAAATATGAAGTGAGCTAAATCTATTAAAAATCCATGTCTTTTTGTCTTCCTGACTTGTTTTCTCATTTCCGTTTCATCTGCTTGGTCTTGTTATATTTGATGTTCCTCAGAGATTGATCTGACAGAGAGACCTTGAGACAGATGGAGAATGAAAGAAATATTAGCCTACATGATTAAATTCAAATAAAAGATTTTATTAGAAGAATCAATGATCAATGTGTGTCTTTAATACCTCTTTTACTTTCTGCAAATCATTTTTCCTGATTAGCAATATCAAGAGTTGAAGTAATTGTTGTGCTGATGCTCCACTTCCCCAGTCTTACCTGGTACAGGCTACTTTATTGTCACTTTAGACCTAATTTGTAGGAGTCATTATTATTACCACCTACTTACAAAACAGGATGCCAATGGTCCTTGTATGCCTTTATATCACAAGGTTTAATAGCTCACAGATGGGTCAAATTGGGTAGCATTAAGGAGGATCTATTGGCAGAAACTGAATATTATATTCATGGGTAGGTTTTCATTAGTGTGTAATCACCTGGAAATAAGAATCGTGTTTCCCTTATCTTAGAATGAGCCATTTTTATCTACAGTGAAAGTGGGTCCTCTTTTAAGGCTGCGCTGTATTTAAATGGTTGCAATCTGCAACTTCACCAGTAGATGCCACCAAAACCTACACACTTCATACATACTGTCACAAGTCAAAACAATCTGCTCCCGTTTTGGTTTAAGTCTGTATTAACCTGTTTGGCTGAACTTCTGGGTGACAAACACTTCCTTAATTTGGATCCACCATCTAAACTCTACCTAGTCATCAGCTCCATCTGCAACCATCTGAAGGCTAACGTGAGAGAACATTCCCCTTATTAGAAATAATTCTCTCACATTACAACATCCCTCTCCCCACAGTCCACAAAATACAATATCTATAGTAATTTAATTGGATATTTGAATATTTTTTTGCTTAAACTAAATCTGAGGGAATTATTCTACTCCTGCTTGAATATAGTCTTTGAGATATATGGGTGCCTTCCTAACTCTAACCAGATAGTGTGGTTCTATTACTGATCCCTGTCCGAAGGGCCTAAGACATGGCATGACTGTTGTACAGATTGTAAAGCCCCCCTGAGGCAAATTGTGATCTGTGATATTGGGCTATTTAAATAAAATTGACTTGACTTGACATGACAAGACCCACTGCCTCCTGTACTGGAGTTTCAGTATCTCCTGTGGAGTCCCCAGGGCAGCACTCATCTTGTAGACTGGAGGTGGTCTGTTTCTTTTCATTACATGAATGAATCTGATCTTGGTGCCTTTTCTCCAGCTTTCCTGAGTTTTCACACTGGCCCATTTCTTTCAATGAGTGTTTCCTGAGTCTGCTTGTGGCCCGTTTGCCTTCTCACATAGACGGATTGTAACTCAGTTAACACTCTGTCCTGGGCATGCCTGCCATGGTGCTCTGTTTGTTTGGCCTGATTCCATGTAACCTTCTTAGTTAGTGAAGGACGCACCAGGTCCAGCTGGGTCCTGACCCTCTGGTTTATTAGCAGCTCAGCAGGTATAGCTCCAGTCGTGGTCTGTGGGTATTGTTTCAGCAGACACCTAGACCCTTTGTTGCAACCTGAGAACATCTTAATGCCATCCTTGAACTCCCACACTGCATGCTAGGCACAGTGATTGTATGATGAATACTATGATCAAGTTGTTGATGCCATTCCTTTTTTGGAAGTGTTTGAAATCTGCCGGTAGCAAGTAAGTAAGTAGCTACAGCAGGGTTTCCGTGGGTGGTGAAGGTCATTATAAAGTAGCCCAGAACGGACAAACACTGACTCTAGATACAGCCTTTCGTGTTTCTTGTGAGTGTTAGCGGTCAAAGTAGCAATCTGCAACTTCACCGCTAGATGCCACTAAATCCTAGGGTTGGCGCTTTCTGAAAAAATGGCCCTCCAGTCTGGCTCAATTTCTCCCCAGCAGATCTGGGCCTTCCCCTTTAACCACAAGCAGTGCCAGCCTTTATTTGCCCCTTCTAACTGACTTGTTCATACATCTTGCACGCACCCCTACTCCAGTAAGGTGTGCAGTCTTATTCTTGTGCAATAGAGTGCCCCACTGCCTTCTTCCTGGAGAGACACAAGGAAATGAGAAGAAGGAAAGAAGGAACTAGGAAATATGTTTTTAGAGAATTGAGACATCCTTCGCTGTGAAGCATCACATAAAGCAACATCCGTTTCTGGTAACGGTGAAGTCAGCTGGCTTTAACAGCTGTAGAAAGTTTAGGTGGAGTTTGTGTCCACACACATGTGAACTGTACCGATATTAATAAAGACACACAGTTCTCAGTGCCAGAGCAGCAGCCTGTTACCTGTTTAACAAACACCTGCACATGAATAACAACCTGCATTATAGTGATGAGCAGATCGTAGTTAAAACTGCGGTCGATCTGATGGGCTGGGTTCTTAAAATTAGGATAAGATTGTGATAAATAGCAGATGGATTGAGGATGGCTGAATTAGGGTAAAGTTTTTCCCCATTAAGAGAGCACACGAGGAACAGCAATTTCATTGACTGTTTAAAAATCTCCACAGGATCTAATGTTAATTCATGTTCTGTGATATTTTACACCTCCAAAAGTTCCCACACACAGTCCAGGTTTATACAGGGAAATTGTTTAGAGTAAAACAGCCCTCCTCCTGATAAATCCTCTGGAGAGTTTCTCTGTCCTCAACTTTATTTTTAAGTTTTGCTGCTTAATGATACTTGCGACAGTGACATTAGTGCGTGCATGGAAACTCATTAAATTGATTGAAATCCTCTCTAATCATTATAGTGAATTAAGAAAACACTTATAGCCAACATCAATACAACACAGAATAAATAAATCACCTGAAACCTCACACTGCTTGACCTAAGAGCCACAGGAATCATTTCTACTGGCAGAATGTGTTTATATTATTTGTTCAATGTGTGCTATATATCTATCTATATTTATTGCTATTGTGATTTTA